CCCAGCATTTTTCCTACTGTAACACCAAACGTACACTTTTGACAATTTAGCCGCAACCGATATTCCCTGATCCGTTGAAAGAATTTTTGCAAGGCAGTGTAGTGGCTCTCTCTTTTCTTGGACTTGACAATCATGTCGTCCACGTACAAAAGGGTTAGCAAGAGAGTTAGTTGAGAATTCATCAAGGGAAATGGGACTTAAGCCTATTAAATAAGAGTTACCACAACAGCAACCCAACCTAGTTGACTGGAGATCCTAAGATCTAGTTTCAAACGGACAATCGAGTTATGTATGACTCATAAAGATCACTGGGGAGTTAAACTCCTACCCATTTCTATAATAAAATAGTGATGTCTGCAGCGTTTTAGGTTAAGTAAATACTTTTAATGATTCTTATATCTAGGTATACTTAGTGGAATATGGCAGGATACTCTTCATAAGAATCACCTATGTGAGTGTGAACTGGGCCAGTTCTATGAGATTTGTAAAAGGCTACAATTTTCTAGAACACTCATGAAAGACCAGGTGGTTCAGGGCCAAAATGAACACAACAATAAGAACTAAACTGTGTCTGGTGATATACTATGTGAGTTCTATTGTCTTGGTTTACACAAATGGTTGACATCATATTCACTAGTTAGCTAGTAAATCCGATAGTGTCTCACAATGGAAGGTTAAAAGCCAAAAGCTACCTATCATTTGCAGAATATTTCCAATTTTTGTACTCTCTGTAATTAGATCATGTTGTTGCATTTTCTCTCCGTCAAATTCCATTCATGTGGGAGATTGTTGGAAAATTTAATTTTTTATAGGCTTATTTTGGGCCAACTTTGAACCCAAAATTGAGTAGGGTCCACATGTCTTTTGAGGTGGGTTCAAAGAGGTGACGTGTTCCTTGCTATATGGCAAGTCATATGGTGAAGACGGTTCGTCAAAACCATTTATGAGTGAATGGGAACTTGACGTCGTTTTCGGGTTCGTAGAATCGACATTTAAAGAATTTAATGTGGGTTTCCTTATAAGGCTTGTCCCATATTGAAACTTTAAGGCCCCGTTTGTTTGGAGAGTTAGATGGGGGATTGGGATTGGTAGTGAGGTGAGACCCACTAATATTGTGTTTGTTTTGAGAGATGGGGAGGGGATTGATAGTGAGCTCCAGATTTGGATGGGTCTTCCCAAAGGGATTCGGATGGGCCTCTAGGACTTGGTATTAGAAAAATAGTCCGGCGGACTACAAATTTTTTATTTGTATTTATTTTTTATTTTATTTTTTACATGTTGGGCATTTTTTTTTAAACATTAATATTTAATTTTTGTATTTTTTGTTAAGTAAAAATCATTATTTTATTTGTTTTATTTTTTTCTAAAATTTTTTTTATTTTATTTTTAATTTTTTACATGTTGGGCATTTTTTTTTAAACATTAATGTTTAATGTTTTTGTATTTTTTTTATTTGGTTTATTATTTTATATAAAAATAATTTAACAATTCCTACACTAACAACTATCATCAAAACAAACACAATTTTACTTAATCCCCTCACTATCAATCCCCTCACTAACAATCTCCTCACTATCAATCCCCTCCATTCTACTTCTAAAAACAAACGGGGCCTAAGAGAGCTTATGTATGTATATAAGCTCTAGGTGACAACACTTGGGTTGGGCCCCAGGGGGCACCCCAAGTTTGTAGAAGAGAGGAGTTATGGACAAATATAACCTTAGCTCAAACCACCACACATGTGCGCGCGCAGCCGCCACCGGTTGACCGAGCGGAACCGAACCGTACCAGGCGCGAATGTGGGTCGGGTTGGTTCTAACATTAATTTTTTGGATAAAATTTATTTGAATTTCAAAATGTTTTTGATTCAAATTTGAATTCAAATTTTTTCCAAAAAATTGTGCCTCTTCCGAATTCCACAACAGATTCAAATTTTTGAACAGATTCAAACTGTTTTACAGGTTTAAAACTACCCAGACAGATCCAAACTGCCCAGCAGTTGTTTGTCCAAAAATGCCAGCAGATCTGTTACAGTTGGAAGCAGTTATCTATTCGAAATTTGAATTATATCTGTAGCACTTGTTCATTTAAAAAACCTACCTATTCAGTTTGTTTTTCAGACCTGTTCGGGTCTATTTATAGCAGACCATTTCCAGCAGTCAAATGATTCAAAAAATTTGATTTTCTTGCCTTCATTTTGCTCTCTTGCATTATTATTCTTCATACTAGTTTTAGAGAAAAATTCAGAGAGTATTAAAACACAGGTTTTATGTTCTCTGTACAAATTGTTTGGTGTGCTACTACAATTTATGAAGATCATTGTATCTTGGGAGATAGACACCTTTTATATGTAAGCATCGTAGCGGGGTTTTACGGACAGAGTGTCACACACTCGACTTGATCTTTTAAAAAATTCATTCGGTTTGGTAAAATAAATCCTGTAAATTATTTATTTTATTTGTTTAATTTGGTTCCAATTTATTTATTGTATACAGAAGACTGTTCCAACAATTTCCATGTAAGTGCAACATTTTCGAAATTGGGTTTTCGAATGATAATTGTGGCTATGAAAAAAAAACACACATTTTTGTCACCTAAGAAAACTTGGTTTTTAGATTTTGTGTGTATTGATATTCATATTAGTTGTTTTGTTTAGTGATAAAATTGTAAAAAAATAACAACGTATTAAGTACGTATATAAAGTAAATAGCGTGTGAAAATAGAATTACCCACAAATAACCCAATAATGGAGGTAAAATAAACCACAAATATCAAATTCCTCTTCATCAAAATTGAACTCATAATTTCATAATACAAAATAATGCTACACCACCACTAAAATTAAAAGCTCTGATTAAATATTAGTTCAAGTCTTGAAGGAATTTGGCTTCCGATTAGGGGGCCACCCGTTTAGAGTTCACGGACCAAAATCCCTTTGATTGGATGTGGACTTTATTTGATGTTAAAAATATTATAAAGTTAATTATCACAGATAAAATGAAAAATTATAAAACATAAGTTGAGAAAAAAATAAAATAAAATATGTACCCTAAAAGTAATAACATGCGACTTCAAAATAAATAAATAAAAAAATTTCATAGTTATGAAAAGCACACCCATGTTTTGCATTTAAAAATAGATGTTATAACCGTAAGCAATGACCTCATATCTTGGAAAAATGGTTAAGAGTATTAAAACTGGTGCTTTAACAGTCTTACTAATGATGTGATAGTAGGTCCTGTCCACTGTCTATGCCTTTTTTTTTTTTTTTGCATTCCAATGTATTAGTGTTATTAGTGATCTTTTTTTTAGTGGTATGAATCATTGTTATATTTTGTTTAGAGTAAATATTAGTTTTAACCGTGTCACACTACAACAAAAAATAATTTTAAGGATTAAATTTTTTTGTTCTCAAAAGTGAAAATTTTATTACCAAAAAAAACATTGGAGAATCTATTCATGCGGCCGCAAGAATAGTCATTAAAAAATCGTTTTGAAAAATAAAAATAAAGAGAAATGGATTTTTAGCGACAAAAAATTAAAAATGTCACTAATAAATACAATTTTAGAGACAAAATAATTTGGTCCAAAAAATTAACTTTTTGAGACAAATTATGGCCTCAAAATAATACTAATTTATTAATAAACAAGTAATCAATCTTACACGTGGCACATTTGTAGGCAGTCTACATAAAATGCACTCCTTTACTGATATTATATATATGATGCCTAATTTTGTCAATAAAAATATAATAATGAAATTTTTAACAACAAAAATATTTTGTTTCTAAAACATTAATTTGTTGTAGTGGCAGTATCACCATCCAATGAATAATTTTGATTGGGTAAGGGTTGTCTCTAGTTTGAATTTGGACTGGACAATATCGTTGGTCCTCCGTGAGCCAACCATGGAGCCCACATCGATAATCCGAAGTATTTAATGTGTAGGGCTCGTCAAGTTCTTCACGTTAATCGGATATCAATTGCTACTTGATCAGATCATATTTCTGTTAATAACTTTTTTTTAAAAGCCGTACTAAACGTTGATAGAAATGTGATCGGATCAAGTGGCTATCGATATCCGATCAATATGATTTTTTGCAACGATGAAATACTCGATGAGCTTTATACATTGAATTGTTCGGGTTATCGATACAAGTTTCGTGGTGGACTCACAGAACCCACCAATATGGTCTAATCCGATTAATCAAACTAGGCACAAGCCACACCCATCTTAATTTGTGGTAAGGAAAACAATAATGTTGGATTAGTGGGAGATAAAACTTGTTCACTTCTCTTAGCGGCTTTTTATTGACCAATAATACCACATAAAATGATATGACTATTACACTCAATATTTTTTCCCTCATACCACTACAAGAATTAACACTTTTGGCAACAAAAAAATTGGTCGCTAAAAGTCAATTTTTGGTCGGCAAAAGTTATCCGCGACCAATTTTTTTGGTCGCTACTTTGGTCGCCAATTGAGGGTCGGCAAAAGTAATTCGCGACCAAAATTGTGGTTGGTCGGCAAAAGTTAGATTTCGCGACTAAATTTTTGGTCGCTAAATATTTAATTACCGCGACTAATTTATTTTGTCGCCAAAATACTTTGGTCGCGAAAAGTGATATTTTCCCGACCAAAAGGTTTGGTCGCCAATTGTCACATTCAACGACCAAATTTTTTGGTCGCCAATTATCACATTTCGCGACCAAAAAATTTGGTCGCCATTTGTTACTTTTCGCGACCAAAACTTTTGGTCGGCAAAAGTGAGTTTCCACGACCAAGTGTTGTTTTGGTCGGCAATAGATGTATTTTTTGCGACCAAAACTCTTGGTCGGCAATTGTCATTTTTTGCGAAAAAAAATTATTTATTTGTCGCGACTAATAAATTGGTCGTCAAAGCAAGAAAACAATACACCTGTAATTCCTAATAATTCATTCAATCCATAATAAACCTATAATTTTAAAGCATCATTCAAATTAATTGAATCATTAACATTCGACACAATACATAATTCATTAACATTCGACACAATATTACTATTCTAAGTTTTCATTCACAAGTCACATCCATCTCGCATAACAATTTGAAACAATACATAATTCAAATTTACAGCATCAGGAAAATTGCTTAATCCACTAAGTTGCCTTGATAGCCAATCAAAAAGATTCTTGCGGCCTTCCGTGCCAAGCTTCGTATACATCAAAGCAGTAATGATGTAAGGCACCTAATAAAGAAACAGAATTGGAAAATTTATTAGAGAAGCATGATAAATATATAAAATTAATTAAAAAATAAACGAAATAGAGAAATTGGAACCCAATAGTCGAGGCAATGCTCTTTACGTATGTGAATGTATTATAAATTTCTCACCTTTATTGGTTTTTCAAAACAATAGTCGAGGCAGGTTTTCTGGTACAGTACAGAAGAGAGATAATGCCAGGACTACCAGATGAGGTTCTACTAGTTCTGATCGATTCCCCTCTCCACCTTGATCAACAAAAGAGAGATAATGCCGGGAGCTGTTTGGTCTCACACAACCTTTTTTAACTTCTCTGCAGAAATGATTCCTGTTAATGACAAAATCTATCAACAAAAGAGAGATAATGCCAGGAAAAATTGTAGAAACAAGATAATGATAAAATCTATTATGTCCAATTTATTCCTGTTATTCATGGGAAAATTGAGGGAATAATCAATGATAACTTCTCTGAAGCATTTGTTTTTTCAAAAACATTTGTTTCTTCAAGCAAAAATTCTGAAGCAAAAATTCTGAAGCAAAACATTTGTTTATGGGTCAAGATGATATTTAACTTATGCTGCTATAGAATAGTTCTGAATTGAGGTTCTAATTTGAATGATCATAGAAATAACTTTCCATCATCATGTATAAAGCTATTTTATATATTTGAAACTTGAACCAAATCCCTATACAGCAAAAGGATTATAAGTATCAATTCAAAAAAAAAGTCATAGATTGGTAAAAGATTTCCTTTCTCGTGTTATGCAGTTGCAGGAAACCCATAATTATATTTAACCTGAATTGGGTTCAAGGAGGCAAAAGCATCGTTACCTCTACTAACAGTGTCAATTTTTTGTGGTATGCAATGAAGAAAATTGAGGTTCAGGATTGATTCTTTTGGATGCAAATATCTATATAACAATGGGAGGGTGAGTTTGAAAATGTCTTTAAAATTAATGGTTTAGATCTATCCAATTTAAAAAACAATGGCTCGGATTTATTCTTCAAAATATATCTCTCACAAACTATCTTTAATGGTTTAGATTTGTCCAATTTAAAAACAATGGCTGAGATTGAAAAGAGTTTCAATGGTCTAGATTTATCAATGACTAAAATTCAATGGTGCAGATTTGTTTACCAATCTACTCTCACCAACCCACTGCACTTACCAGGTAAGGCAGTCTTCACATCATTTCTTTACATCATATGTATCATCTGTATCAATGAAGAAGGAAGAAAGCTCTGAAGAAGGAAGAACAAAGCTCCGAAGAAAGCAATCTTCTCCACCATCACCAGGTAAGCTCATCCCGTCATCCCCACCTTCAGTTTGTGTCAATTCAAACATTCAGAGGGTTTGTTTTTGAAGCAAAAATGTATTTATCAAACATTTGTTTTTTAAAAAATTCTGAAGCATTTATTTTTTCAAAAACATTTGTTTCTTCAAGCAAAAATTCTGAAGCAAAACATTTGTTTATGGGTCAAGATGATTTGTTTGTTTTAGATTTGTTTGTCTCTTTACTTACTCTGCCTCTCTTTCCCATGTTAAGAGATGGATTCATCTCTTTCTTTTATTGAACCCTTCATTGATTTCATTGATTTCAAACATTTTGTTAAGAGATGTATTTTATTCTGTCATGAACTAATTTTTTTTTAGATTTCATTGAAATGTGTCTATGTATTTCATTGGGTTAGATTGGGTACTGAATTAGATTTTATTCTGTTATGTTTTTTTAAGATTGTTTAATCTCTTTGATTTGTGTTTTGTACTAAGATTATGAGACAAAAAAATTTAACAATTCTATAAGTTTGATAAAAATTTAAAATTGTCCCTCCTCTTTGGAGGAGCCATACGAAGCACCTTTCATTTCTTGCCTCCTTGAGGTATGGACAATGCTCCAGTCTTTCCTTGGCAGTGAGTGGGTATGAATTCTATTAAGGCTCAGTACCTCTTATGATGTTCTTTAGTAGCCTTATATTTTCCAGTAATGTAGAGGCAAGTAAATTAGACTTTTTCCACTTTTTGGCAGAAACAGTTAATCATTATGTTCATTATGTATTTGGTTGTTTACGTGTGGCATGGTGGCTTGAAAAAAGTTGTGTTGGGGTTTATTCTGCTGCCCACTTGATGACTTATTTTACACCAGAATGAACCATATTGAAAAACTTTTATGGGGAGTTTGTTATTATGAACTATATTAAATGCTGTGTGTAAATTTTCAGATATCTCCTCATGGGGTTTGTATCATATTAGTTTTGGTGGTCTTATTCTGCATTTTGATTCAGGGTCCTTATCGATTGGTTGCTGAGGAGGGCAAAGCTAAATGTTCATGGGTGAGCCTCGACGACGTTTGATGAAGTTTGAGGAGGGCAAAGCTAAATGTTCATGGGTGAGCCTCGACGACGTTTGATGAAGTTTGAGGAGGGCAAAGCTAAATGTTCATGGGTGAGCCTCGACGACGTTTGATGAAGTTTGAGGAGGGCAAAGCTAAATGTTCATGGGTGAGCCTCGACGACGTTTGATCAAGTTTGAGGAGTTTGGAAGTTTCGGAATGAATGTATTTTTAACGGATAAAAGATATGATCAAATTTAAGTTAGTTAAAAGATATGATCAAATTTAAGTCAGTTAAAAGTGGAAGGACTAAATGTACAAGCAATAGAATGCAGGGACTACAAGTATAAATTTCCTTTTTTGTTTTCTAAGGTAGAAAGAGAGGATAGAGGAACCTAAGCAAAAACAAGAAGAATAGGAAGAAGCTAACAAGCATGAGTTTGTAAAAGGAAAAAAGAAACTCACCAATGGATAGTTGTGTTCCTGGCAGCAAGGTTGGTAACCTTAACTACAACATTATCACCTTCATGGACAGCAATGGTTGGCCCTAGATACTTCCCAGTCACTGTTAGAAGTGGCTTTCTATGGCATAACCTGCTCACTTCTGTCCACTCTAGTCATATCATATTTAGATTCATATGAGAGAGAGAGAGAGAACAACCGAAAACAGAAGTGACACAATGTGTACATGCATAAAACTCCCTACCCACACATCAAAATTTGTACATTATTATCTTCATTTTGAGTTCATGAAGTGTAAATAAATATTTTGAAAGCACATTGGTAAGGGCATTCAATTTCAAAATAAAGGCCAAATTGATTAAATGGTGAGTTCCTTAATAATTGTAGTCACATAGCAGGATAGACAATTTTTTCAAAAATATCCTCCTTGTGTAATATTCTAGAAAGGAAGGTTTTTCAATTGACAGCCAACAATACCTGGGAAATGGCATATTATTGGGAAATTGTTGCCCCATGAATGCCCCTGAAACCATAGAATTGGACATGACAAAAATATAGAAGAAAATTTCAAGTGAATGGAAACAAAAACAGAAGCTGATGGTGTGATTTTACCAGGAGATGGAGACATTCCCGAAGAAGGTATCTGTGAAGGTGGTATAGATCCATAAGATGAAGCCTGAGGCTGCATCAAATGGGAGGAGTGGGTATCTGCAGTTTGCAATAAGGCTGTAGGAGCTGACAAATTTGGCAGTGCTCCTTGCACAAGCAACATAGAAGGCAACTACATCACAGGAAAACACAATTTTTTGAGATTAATAAATGATAATAAATAAATAAATAAATAAATAAATTTGGCAATTTATTGTCTAACTCAGCATGTCTCTCACGCTTTTCTAAAGGTTTGTGCATGTCTAGTTTTCATCATCCACCTAATTGTGCTTGTTCAACATATTGAGGAGTTTAAAAAGCAACTGGAACAAATATACAACCTATTCTGGATAAAATCAACTAGAACAAAAATACAACTTGTTCTGGATAAATTAAGACATGCACACTATAGGCTTTTAATATAAGTTAGTATTCTACAAACACTAAAATTATCAATAGAAATATTTCAGCTTAGCCACATGCTTGCAACTGTGCACCTAATTACTATGTAAGCCCGAATTTATCAGGACTTCCATTGATATCATGCAAAATTTCAGCATGCATCACACACAGCTTAATATGACTGAGAAAAGTGTAGGAAATGAGTAAATGTAAGGGCACAGATCAACACTTACTGCACTCCACTACAGTTGGTGCAAACAAAGGTCCAGAAATCGAAGCAAAACATATTGTGACCCCTGATTGAAGAACACGTCAGCCATAGTATTGAACCAAACAAAGGACTTTCAGAATTATGAATAGCCTTCGATGTGGAACTATAATTTCATTTGTTGAACCACAGGAACCAAAAATGAACTTATAGAATTAGAGTTGTAGCTGTTCATATGCAAATGGCACAGAAAGGTGAGGTGACAATTCAAGTATAGAAACAGAGGATGAGGTCTAGCATTGACTTTTGTATTAAGTATTATGGAATCTCACAAAAATGAAAAGCTGTTGCACAGTATAAGACTAGAAGGTTTAGAGTTCAGATTGTATACTACCTGGAACCAATCGGGGTTCTCCGGGTTTTGCTGAGCAGCAAGAACTTCAACAAAACCTTCATTCTTGTAGCCACCCATGTTACTTGCGTATGCCCGTGAAAGGTGACGATTTACAGATGCAGAATTGAATTGTGTAAGAACATAGATCTTTGATATGTTGCTGTTCAGGCAATTGCTGACTGGAATGTCAATCAGGTGATAATTTGCTCCTAAAGGAACAGTTGGTTTTCTCTTCTTTGTAAGAGGGTAAAGGCGAGTCCCAACTCCACCTCCAAGTATAATTCCCAGAACACTGAAGAATACAAAACTAAAGGAACAGCTGGTTTTCTCTTCTTTGTAAGAGGGTAAAGGCGAGTCCCAACTCCACCTCCAAGTATAATTCCCAAAACACTGTGAAGAATACAAAACCACTTAATCATTCCCTTCCTCAAATCAACTCATTATAAAAATTAAAGTTTCTAAATACCCATAAGCATAAAATTCCACCATACAAGTTTAAAAAAGAAAGAGCTGAGCAACAAAACCCACATTGTCCAAGCATTTTTTACTAGGACATGAGGAACCCAAAGTCATGGATCCAATGCTACACATATTTCAACTAATTTTACATAAACATCCAACAATGTAGTCCTCTGCATCACAATGATTGACCATGAAATTTGAAGATTTTAAGGTCCATAGTGAGGTTACCTTATTTTATTTTGAGCAAATGTGCCAAATTAGTGCAAAATTTCCAGAAATAAATGCATTCAGTAACCAATGAAAAGCAAAACACATTTAATGGTCCTTAAGAGCAACTCCAACCATACTCTTCATTTTTTACTAGTTAAAATACAAAAAAAGTAATCTTTATTTTGTCTAATCCTTTTTTTTATCTACATACTTTATTTTACTAATTTACACCTACAAACTATTTAAAGAAACCTCCCAAAGCTTTTAAAATGTAGCTAGCCTTAAAAGGATTATGTTAAAATAGCTAGCCTTGATTCACAACCTATAACAGTCTAATCCAAAATTCATATATCCTTTCGTGCCATCTGTATATACTCAAATCAGTTAAAAACTCTGAAAAAAAACAAACTCAACTGAAACTACTTAAATAGCTAGACAACTTACCACAAGTGCCTTCGCTGAAACACCTTCTGTCAAAATCAAGGTACATTTATCAGAGCTCTTCCCTCCGACATCATTAGCATCTTCTAGTTTGGGAATCCCAGTTATCCTCTGCCTCTTTGTCCCATCAGTTTTCTTAAGATCCTTGCTCTGCTTAAAATTTGCCCATGACAAGAGACTTTCCACTATTCCAGACTTGGTCACTGCAGGAGAATTGACCACAAAAGCATCAAAATTACGCTCACACTCTGAATATTGCTCATACTCTGAACCTAGTCTAAAGCCCTTCAATAAATGGATCACCGCGGCCAAAACCCATACAGGAAAGGCTACCATGTGCACCCCAGAAAGGGTGCATATGGTATGCGCCTGATGTAAAAAGTGCAACTTTTATCATAAAATGTATAACTTTTATCACAAAAAGTATAACTTTTTTCTTCACAAAAATTGTAACTTTTTGCTTCTCGCAAAAAGTAGAACTTAAATCACAAAAACATAACTTTAACTTTTAGGGTGCACATCATAACTTCACCATTTATAGCTTTCATTACAAAAATCATAACTTCCATCACAAAAATTCATGACTTCTATCACAAAATCGTAATTTTTCTTACAATGTGCAAGTGCACATTGTAGCATTTCCTGCCTACGTAGAAATGAGTTGGAATGGGCTTAATCAAACAAACCCATTTATAACATGAAAAAGAAACCCAACCAAACTCAAACCCTTAAAATCACTGTCTGATCAAAACAACCATTAAAATCAACGGAAGATTCCACAGGCCAGGTCAATAAATTGCGAACTCTATCCGTTACATTAGTGTGTCAGATCTCAATGCTCAATACTTTTTTAGCAATGTAACATAAATCATGGCCTAGCTAAGTACAAACTACAAAGGGTGAACTAGTCACAATGAAATGAGCTAATGCTAAGTAAGAAGGCCAGTGGAGCACGAAAAGTCTGCCCAGGGTTTTCAAGATGAAGCATTGTTTAGCAATTACAGTTTAAAGAACAATTACGAAGAATAATCTCCACATCTGATGATAAAACACAACAGTCAACAATTTATGTATCTAGTGATTGGTAGGTTGAGCAAGCTATTGATGGGAGAGCCACTTTAGCATGATTCTCTAACCAGAAGGAACCTCTCACATTAATGATCAACTTGAAGGAGACAAAGATGTTAAGGCAGTGCTTTTTTTTTTTCCGTTACCATATTACTAAATGCAGTGATATTCAAAAGCAAGATTTTGAGTAACAAATAATAGAATTACAGAGAAATCAATAATTCCTAACAAGAATGCAAACAAACCGTATCACAGCATGAAAATGATTACTTTTTAGTGAGCAAAAATACTCATTTGTTGGATATATTTCTATGTGGATCATTCTATCAAAATACAGCCATAAGCATGCATACATAGTACATAAAAAATATTCAATCAAAGATATCATCCAAACTTTTCAAAAAAAATTACCCAAAAGCATCTTGAGCAAGAAGAAGCCCATAAGCAGCAATTGCTGCAACCAACTTTTCCTGATATTTCCCAACTGACTTATCAATGCATCGATTCAGAACACAACATCCATGCTGATGAGTTGCAATATCAACACAGAACTTTGCAGCAGCATCAAATATAAACTGCCAAAGATTAAAAAACAGAGAAGACAAAGCAGGTAATGAGAATCAAATTAAAGGAATAATTACGTAATCACAGTACAGACTAAAATTAAACCATTTAGGAATGAAGACATATCTGGTCGAAGGCTTTCCACAGGCTCACGCAAATTACAGTTTAAAGGTTAGAGCATGTGAAAGAAACCATGTTGTTAACACAAATTACCTAGAATGAAATATTCTGTTTTGCTGGATTACTATCAAACTTATATGTTCTCAATTAATATTCCAACTCAGACATAGTAATCCAGTTTATACCACACAACTTTGGCACTGGGGGGCAATTCAATAATAAAAATTAAAAAATTAAAAAAGACAGCAGTCCTTACCTGAGAAATCTTGAGAGTAACAGAAAAAATGGTTGTATGAGTAGAGACGGCAACAGAATGAGTCAATTGTTTCATGCTCCAGCCCTTGGGATATGTTTGAGCCTTACATAACCAGGTGCAAGTTTATTTTATCCTCATTTATTTGCCTGATATTAATTATATATGTTTGTCTCCATATTAGGTACAGAACAATACTTATTTCATTATCTCATCCAATCCCACCCCATGCCAATGCATCATTTTGGGGAAATATTTAAACCTAAATTGGTATTGGATTGGAACAGAAGGGGAAAACCAGCGGGTTTGGCCTGTATTGTTCCAAATCTCTACATTGCCATTACTGAATATAACTAACTATATGCTACAGACGAGATGCAATATCTAAGAGTTCATGCTTTGGTCAAGCATCATTATCCATTCACGGCAAACACAGTTTTTTTGCTGATTTGCGAAAATTAGAGATATGTCAATTAGCTTACATACAAGACATGGGCTTTCATCAAGCAATCTATGTGCTAAAGTAATAGGGTAAATTAAGGAAATCTCTGAATGCAAGAGAAGAGATATTTGACTTTATAGCCATGCTGCTGCAATTTTTTTATGGAAAAACAAAGAGAAGAAAAAATTAATTAATTCAAAAATAGTTTTAATTCACGATGGTTGATTCAGGTTTCACTAAACCAAGTTGTACCCTTGATTTCTATCTCTTACTCTTCTTGGAGGGTAAACACCTTCCAGATATCACCAATGTTTATCGTAAAACACAAAGATGCCTGGTTATTTACACTCGAGATCAAGAACCAATAATCAACTCTTAAACTTAAATAAAATAATACTCCAAGATTGTAATTCCGAAGGACAAACGAGGAGTCAAAATCCAAAAATATATATTGCTCAAGGTTAATTAAAATTGACATTAAGGCCTAAATATCAATATCGCCATTTTTTATAAAATAATCAGTATCATCTTTCATAACACCAAATCTACCCCCTCCTTGCAGAGCTTAAAGATTTGGGTCACGCCAATGACCATCCAGGATACGATAATTGCAACCTTCCAGTCATTTGAACAAATCACCAAATGATGGTCAAACCCTTTGAGGCATCAACCAAGGACCACAAACAAAATTGAAATGTTGAATACTCTGAAGTATTAAAAATATGAAACCAAATGCAGTACTTGAATCTTAGAACCTTGAAGCTTTAAAAGGAAAAAAAAAAAAATCAAGGTTTGACCCTTGTAACCTAGGAAGCATGGGTGCGGGTGCGGGTGCGGGTACGATACAGGTACGCCGATACGGCAAATTCTTTAAAAAGTAAGATACGGGTACGGCTAGTGTACGCCAATTTTTTTTTTTTAATTTTAAATTTATAACTAAACATCCAACATCCAACATACAAATCAAAGTTTCAATATCAAAACTAAAAAGAGAACAGCATGTCTAAAAAGTAATATAATTCTTTCTTTTTCTTTTTTGATTGTCTAAAAGATGATGCAAAAGAGAGCAAAGCTATGACTCATGTGTAAAGGGTGTTGGAAACAAATTACCTGATGATTTTCAAAGTTCAAAGAAAAATAATAAAGGTTGCAACAAATTCTAGCAACTGCAAAAAAATAAAAAAAAAATAAAAAATAAAATCATCCAGTAAAACATACCCAACCCGTACCCATGACATAGCCATGATGAACCAAAATGTATCTGTCATACCCAACATGTATTCAGCATACCCATTACGCGTACACGCACCAGGTAAGTACCCGGTACTCGTACAACACCATTTTTGGAGTGTCCGTGCTTCATAGCTTGTAACAAAGTAAACCTTGAGCTTTTAATTTATTTTTAATCTAAACCTTTTACCGATTTTTGTAAAGTAAAACCGATGGAGGAAAAAAAATATATTTTAGTCATTAAATTCAATTAAAAAAATGATATTTTAAACATTTTATGTGCACATACATTGAGTTTAATGATAAAAATATATTTTTTTTTTATCAATTTTACTTAATAAAAATAGATAAATAATTTATATT